TAGTACCGTACCTTGTCTTATTCGCAGTCATCTGCTTCTCTTACTAAAAGCATCTAGGTGGAGCTTCCTATCAATAAGAAACCCGTTGATGGATAAGTTATTGAAGAATCGTAAAGTCCTTTCGCCAAGTGGTAGGGAGGACATCGTACGCTCTGTCGCCGTGCTGTAGAGAGTTTCGATCTCCTTTAATTAGCTTGCTGAGCTGGTTTACCTCATAAGTTGCTGGTTGCAGGTGTTAGTTGGGTACGGTAGAATCGAGTCGCTCAAAGATTAGGGAGGGTAGCGCTGAGTAATTTCGATATGCATCTGCTTACATTGAGCCATAGGTTGTGGGTTACATCCAATGTTATAGGTGGAAAGTTTGATCCTTCGATGCAGCCGTAGATAGTGTGTAAATGTGAATAAATGAAGAAGAACTACTTCTAATTTTTTAGGTAAACTACGATCGTCCTCCTCAAATGGGAGCCCGATATCTGGTGCTATGCGGTTTTGGTGATTGCGGTGTAAGAGGCTGACTGTCTGATCTCATATCTGGTTAGGTATAACTTGGCAATATTAAGTCATCAATGACTGTGATATCTTGTAATAATAAATAAATACATATATATACATAAGTACCTTAATAAATCTTCATTCAGAAGTGTACTATTGAAAATGTTCGTTTCGGAATACGGATGTTATTTCTATCGTGATCACTAGTTCATTTTCATTTTGACTTGTGTTTTGTTAACTGTGTTATTTCCATTTCGATCCCTTTCTTTTTCTTAATCGTCCCAACGATGGAAAATGGATCATGGTAAATTATCAACGGATTGGAACGATCATCAGCAACCGATCGGCTAGACTTCTCCAAGGCTCCATAACTAGAAGGTATGATTTTTATAAGCAAAGTTGAACGGAAACTCCGAATTTGCATGACATTTTCTAATGTGTACATGGCGTAGTGTACAGTGGCGGTACCACCACATGTATCGTCAAAGATCGAATTTCAAAACTATCGGATCTTGCAACCTCTACTTGTTCTAGAGGGTGAAAGTTCTGATTTTTCCCTACACAGTGCACAGACCGAGTAGGCTTTGGAATGCCAATTCGATTCTCGGTAGATGTCTTAGGCGTGGCGCGTTGGAGAATTTCAGAGCGCTATAGGCTTAATACATACATATAGCGCATTCTCGATATTATCGCCTGTGTAAGTCTACCTATGGTTGACATTCGATTGACCCGAACACCGTTCGTTGACCTAAAATTGACGTGCCACTTCTCCGTCATCACTCTTATCGATATCTGATGTAGTTCACAGAGTTCTCATTTCACCTGTAGGTCGTCTCCTTCAGGCCGGTATCATTTCTTTGGGTTCAACCACTCCGGAAATTAGCGACACGTATGAGTGAATTCAGGTTTTAGCGAAATTAGGGGCAGAAAGGGCATTTCTTCTACAATTTGGCTATCTTCCTGTACAATGCAATCCGAATCATCTTCGCCTATAGGTTGAGGAAGCTTCACGTTCTCTTGAGGTTCCGAAAAATGAAAATAATGAAATTTCTCTTGAGACGCTCTTTGATTTCCAGTATTGGCTAGCAGCCGCTGTTTTTGACTATCGAAGATGTCTTGACAAAATATTCTGTGCCCTTCTCCCCATTTGTGGCCCATCACTAACCTAAGTCTTACAGATTTTTGGAATTCGTATTTAAAAAGGAAGTGGAATGCGGGACTAGACAGTAAAACTCCCAAAAAGAATACACGAAGAGAGTATAGCAGAATATTCAGATGCAAAAAAATTTCGCGAGTGGTCGGGTAACTTTCGATCAACACAGGATTCGCGATTTCTGAATGATACTATTTGTCCAACCACTTTCCTCTCGTCTGAATCTTTGTCAGNTTTCGAAGACATCATGTAGCCCATCACTTACCAAAGTGTTATATACGTTACGTTTGAAATTCGTGGTGAAAAAGGTTGTCGAATGCGGGACTAGCTAGAGAAATTTCCGAAAGGTCACAAGAGTACATATGTCAGAAAATCAAGATGCGAAAAACTTTTGCGAATAGTCGGGTAACTTTCGATCAACACAAGATCTACGATTACTGAATGATACTATTTGTCCAACCACTTTCCTCTCGTCTGAATCTTTGTCAGATTTCACATACCATTCTTTATGGATTTGCTTTTAAACTTTTGGTCCTCCACTAGCTTATTTCATCTTTTGCCAATTTCTTTTTCCCTGTCCATTCTTTCCCTTGAGTGAGGCTGACTGCTCAGTAAAATTTGATGGCTATGTTGGCCCACGGTAATTTCAATAAAGAAATTTGCTATGATCATGAATCTGGTTCAGACTACAGTTGATTTCAGGTCCAAAAATGATTATATTATTTTTGTTACTTATCTCGGCTGTATCAACGTGTAAGTTGAAGGCAAGAGTTTTTTCCGCAAGCTTCCATCCCGTATGGGCTCAATTCACTTTCTTCAACGAGACCAAAAGCGAGATGTGAGTTGAACTTCTACTTTAGTTGTTATTTCCGACGGACAGACCCACAATGGCGTGGTACAAAAGAGCTTGGCTTACTTTCAACTAATAAAATTTTACAGTGCAAATAAGAAGTTTCAATTTTTCTCTTGGTAAAAGGTTGGTATAGTGGCTGTCACCATAAAAGGCGATCGTTTTCGGCACCCTCTGACAGGAGTGGAGCGGGATTAACAGAGCTATAAGCCTACGTGTATGAAGGTCTAGATTTTAAAACAATCGAAATTTCACAGTTAAACCATTCGGATATGGCAGGCATGGCTCAATCTTTGAATACATCCGTCAAAATCATCCAATTAACTTATTTTTGATTGCGTTTACGAGAGAATTAAGTTTTATTCTGTTCAGGTACGAGTTTACGACAAACAATCAGAACCACACTTTATATATTGTTGGTAAGGACTGTAATATGAAGCCAACAATCCTGAAATCCTACAATGAGCCACCTTATGACGGTTTGGCGCCGATTGGTCAGACATCGGCCTTCATCGAAGGACAAGGAATGCTTGATTACACGGTAATATCAGATTTTTCGGGTTTTTATCATAAATATTGCTTAGTTCTCAGTATACATTTGACGGTGAGGCTTGGTTTTGTCCAATAGTACCTGCTAGTAGGCCGATGAGGGCTTCTGCTTCTTCACTCCACAGACCGGAGCAAGTCACTGATTGTCTATTTCATCCATTACAAGAGCGGGTGGAGGTGGCGTAGTACCGAAAGGCGCACCACTGCACATACGGTACAGGGATCCAAGCTGAACCCAACATCCTGCTTCCCCCTCCCTCCCTTTTAGATAAGGAGTCTTCTATCATTTTCGGACCGAATCGATGCCTTACCCAGACTCATCTTGGGGGTAAAAGAGTAGACTGTTAATCAGCTGCCCCCTCCTCCCACCTCCACGTATAATCTTGTGGGCCGCGCATGCATTCCAAGCGTCCCTGCGATTTTGAATGGCAGTTAAGTGTATGGGAACATCCCTAAAAAGGACTACTTGAAGCCAAGAAAGAATTCTCCTCTATCTTCAATTTAAAAAAGTAACTCGTGGTTAAAATAAAAACATGTATAATTCCAGGTTTACCACAAAGAGCCACCTCGTATGGGTATGAGAATCGGTGTGCTTTGTGGTTTTGGTGATTGCGGCGCTAGAGGATGAACATACGATTATTCCTACATAAGCTACCTCTACTGAAATCAACTTCTTGATTTCGAATATGACACTTTAATAACTGTAATAAATTGGCTCATAATTGTGAAAAATTGATTTGATGATGATGAAAATTGATGTGATTTTATGTATGGACGTAATAAATTATTTGTATCGAATCTACTCTGAAATTTTCGTTGGTGATTAACCGTTCGAAATACCTTTTCTCCCAGAAGTATCCACGTTTTTGCCCCTATTTGTTTACTTGTTTGTTCAGAAATTGGATGGAAGTATCGGGTACGACGGAGCACAGCTCCAGAGACGATCAGATGTTTTTACTTCTTCTGCTGACAGCAATAATTCTGAAGTATTCCATTTCATCGGGCCTTCCCCGAACTTCAAATTAATTATAAGGTAAGTTAAAGTTCGAATACTGTTGAACAGCCCAGTTCAGCCGCACTCACTTGAAGATGATCCTAGCAGAAAGATCAGTAATCAATCCGATCGCCGTTAGTTGATGACCCAAAATCGTCTAGCATTCCGTCATTTTTACCAGAATCGGCACTAGTTGCAACGTTGCACTGCTCCCGAACCCTATTTTATTATGTTTTTTTTATTATTTTGTTTTATTATTTTATTATGTTTTTGTTTTGTATCGACGAAAGCAGTCACACGCAATCGTTGTGTTGCCTGGGTTTTGAAATTTCCTGACGGTCCTACAGTATTTTTGAGCAGAGCTATTCGTGCGAGAGCCCCCATAAAAAAAGTCAAGCCACGTCCCATGCGGTTTACAGGCTCCCCGCCACTGTTAGCTCATGAGAATTTTGTGGTAAAACAACCGTGGCGCGCACGTATCATAGCACTAAATGCCTTGCTCTCTAACACCAGCAGCATTCATAGTCCGCGCTGGCCGAGGAGCAGCAGGTGGCGGTGTCGATCATTATACCATATGATCGATAACCCATTTAGGTCTTTGAGCTCAATATGGCGTTTACATTAATTGCTCAGCTATGCGCGTGGTGTAACGACGCGGATATGTATGATTGAGAGCCATAAAATCGCGAAATTTTGTCACGAATTTCCCGAGTTTGCATCACATCGATCGATACTTACGATCGTCGTCCGACTTCCATCGAGGAGTATGAACGCAGGTACTGGGTTTGCGTTTCAGCGGTTGTATAGAACATCAGGCCGGGCAATCGTAGAAGAGAAAGGAGTAATACAGAAACAGGGTTCACTGCTATTTTTTGAATGAAAGCATTCTATTATTTTCCTTCTAGAGTTTAGGGTATAGGTAGTAAGATTATAGACAATACTTTAAAGGTTTTTGCTGTGTGAGTATGTCGACAGTAGTAAATTATCCATTGCACATTTGCGCATTTTGAAAATGACGAAAAAAAAAACGGTTGATTCTCACCCCTTTTCGCTCCTCAATATCTGAACAGAGACTTTCAGGTTCAGTGATGTTTGTGCTTATACTGATATCTATCTCGCTGGTATCGAGCTGTAAGTTGAAGGTAAAAGTTGATGCCGAAACGTATCATCCAGTGTGGGCTCAATTCACGTTCCACAATGAAACCAAAAGCAAAGTGTGAGTTGGTTACGATTGTGTTAGCTAGAGCTCTCGAAAGCTACTTGTTTTTTGGCTTATTGGAAGCTCTATCTTGTTCGAACCACATAATACCCTGCATTTCACTCGACTTGGTGTCGACCGCTCTGATGATGATTGCGGTCCATTCAGAAGTCAGATATACTTGAGTTCGAGTTGTTCATCAAAACCCTTATATACCCTATGATTTTATGCATTAGCAGTCATCGGCCAAATCTTGCTAGCCTTTTGAACTAAGAACTCTCGTGTTCATGTGCTCATTGCTGGCATTTTGGATATGGAGGCTAGGGACTGCATTTCTACATCCTCGACTCAGTGTAGCCTAAAGTTGTATAGCGGACAACAAAATCTGTTGGCGTAAGGTGTATCTTGTCTTCACCATCGTTGCACAATGGTGATCCGGCCAAATGATATCGCATAGAGCCAAAAAGCTATAAGCTTTTTGTTATTACTGTTTCGATTTGTTCTCGATGACTACTGTTTTTCGTAGCTCGCGTGCAAAAGCCTCACAAGTGTCAGTATTCCGTGGAGTCGGTAGTTTACGATTCTAGACATTTCTTTTGTTCCAGGGTGGGGTTCAAACTCGGCCTTGACCTGACATTGACCAGTCCTGTGTAGTGCGGAGGTTCTTACCATTCCCCTAGATCTTTAGGTGGAAGTAGGGCTTCAAAGCCGAGTTTTGAAGTTGACCAAATTTCACGACGCCTTTAAAAGAGCACAGTGGTCTGTGATGGTGACGCCCTCGTATCGTTCACCATACATCGCAGCATACTTCATTAACTTAGGAAAAAGTGAAGTTTGTGGGGGCGGTGCTGATTGAAGCGTTATCGCTCAAGGCCATGACCATTTTTACGTGTGGGTCCATCAGTTGGGTGAACATCTTCTGCCACACTCTAGCTTGGGCCTTCGAAAATGTTACACCGAATCCGCCAAATTTCAGTATCCCTTGTTCACGACGCACTCTACCCTTAGCAGTTTACGGTAATTCCTTGAATTCGTTGCTAAGGAAGCAATGGGAAAAACAGAAAAGTGGGAAATAGTGGAAGAGCTGAAGTTCAACCATGGGCTTGCCTAACTGTTCTCGTCCGATCCTTATTTGAGTCCACTGATCGAAACTAATGTTGGTGTGAGTGGGCGAGCACCAGAAGACGAGAAGGTCCGCTGATTTACGGAGTAGGAGCGGATGACGGAAAAAACGGGTGGCATTAGAGAAACCCCACTTGGCAACCAAGTGTTTGATTCAATCCAAACAGTAATCATCTAACCTTGCAGCAGAACAATTTGAAACGTCGTTAGTATTGTATAATACAATGAGGACGTATACGGTATTGTGTTGACTCTGCAATGAATAACTCAGTAGTATCCACGAATATTGCCTAACAGTGTGAAACTAGCCAAACGAGTGCTTTCAGCCTGATTCAAATAAATGTCTTTTCCAGGTACAAATTCACGGATGGCCATCAGAATCACACCCTGTACATTGAGGGTTTGATCTGTAACCTGAAGCCTACCATTTTGAAATCCTACAAGCAATCGCCTAAACCTGGAGTCAAGCCAATTGGACAGACTGCGGCTTTCGTTGAGGGCCACGGAATGATTGGTTATACGGTATGGACAGGTTTACTGAATTTTACGTCTTCTTTCTAAGTGCAACACACGAAATTTTTTAAAATTTCATGCATTCAAATCTTCCCTCATAATCCGATACAGGAGTGTCAGTGTCCCACTTGTTCGTCAGATTTCCTACAGAAAGGACTGTTTCCACCGTACAGCTCCACTCCCGGGTTGAGACAAGGTGTAGAAGCGAGGAGTTTGATGAAGCCGTATTTCTCAAAGAGCATTGTGAACTCTGGCTCATGAGTCGCAATGTCTTTGCATTTGATCTTATTTCTACGAGAATTCTAGAAAATCAAGATTTCAGCATAGCCTACCTACTTCAAGTTCACACTTCAGTGGAGTCACCTCACTTATCTCTTTCAGGTTTTCCATAACGACTCTCCTCGAATGGGAACACGTGTCGGAGTCAGTTGTGGTTTTGGAGATTGTGGATCAAGAGGATAGAAGAGTAATGTGTGATAGGATTAGTAGTATTGTGATACCAGAAATGATATGCTGATAATAAATCGTTCAATCGTAATCGTCTTTGGCTCTTTCCATGTGGTATTGACCAGTTTACTCCTTATGTTATTAAGATGTTATTTACCGACGCTAACCATGTATGCCAAACCGCTCCTAGGCACCTTACGTATAATTGCAGTTATCCTTTCCTTTATTTAAATTTTTTTGCATTGCTGCCTTCAATAGTTTTTGTACATTCTTCACATTTTGAGTCAACTAGCTGAAGCTGCCGCCGGCACAGCCTCCCAGATTCGACTAGGCGACAAACGTGGCACATACCGCCCTGACCAATGGAAACGGGATCTACTCTCACTGTTGTTCTTTATCTGTTACATAGATTCTTTCTATGAAGTAGTCAACTCCACAGCACTATCCTGCACGTTAGCCTGGCAAAGTCGAAAAAGGGTAGCCTATTCAGTCATGAGGGACGAAGTAAGCCGTTTTGTGATCTAAGAAGATATAAGGAAAGTCACATAAACAAGAAAACAGAACAAAAAGACATTCCAGCGTTTTGATGGAAAATGCTTGCTTACAACTGAATAATAATAGTAAGTTGGAGTGAGCATGAAGGTATTTCTATACACTTGTTTCTGGGTTCCCACAAATATCTTAGTAGTCATTCTGCCACTTCATCTATTTACACTTCTGCTCTGGGAACAGTTCCCTAACGCACGACATAGTGTAAAAATCTTTTTTCAGAAAAATCCGAAAAAAGGATATCTTTGAGGGAGAAGGTCCACGAGGAGGTATCTGCATATATCCGCTTCACGTGAGCTATTAGATGACGTGACGACGACCTAGGCGGAAGATGTCTGCAGCGATGCTGTGTAAAATTTCCAGGTGAACCGTATAACCCAGTCGTTGGCCGTTTTATGTCTATGTCGTACAACCTTGTACGTATGTTTGAGATACTGCCGATTACTGTAGGTGAGTAGAAGACGTAAAAGTGACGCCATTTTTTATATCATTCGCAGTGGTTTGTTAGTTGCTTGGACTTCGGAGCTAACGACGTCCTTTACCACTCACGCACGGCTTAGCGGATTTAAAAGGGTCGCGTCAGTCTAGAATCTTTTCTATTACCGCAGACATTTTGAATCTTATAAGGCTTAATTAATTGGAATTCTATATCTACCAAACTACTCGACCAGGCCTTTGTGACAGCCTGCGGTAGGTCGGACCACGCTTGATTCAATCTTTTCAAGGATAATTCCAACTTGATGCTGGTGATGGAGTGGAGTAAAACATTATGTTCTACAATTTATAGAGGTCAGAATTAGGTTCAAATTGCTACCTGAAAGACGAACTCCAGTTACCACTGTTTCTAATCCTCGCACTTCTTGGCCCTTGCGCCACCATTCCCGAAGAGACCAAGTAGTGCGAGGACTAGAAACTGAATCGGAAACAGTGATAACTAGAGTTCGTCCTCGAGGTAGCAATTTGAACCTGGTCTTGATTTATATGAATTGTATATCATGGTATTTTATGGCCTGGGAATCAAGTGTGGCACATATTGATCGAGATTAAGTCACTTCACTGCAAATTCTGTTTTTAAGCGTGAATGATATCCATAATACTTGTTTCTACTTCAGTGGAAGTATGTGAATCTGTTGAGAATCGAAGTGAAGCGATCGCTGTGGCGATCCAAAGTACTGGATTTTCTTGCCTCAGATCTCCATTACCGTTTCTTACCCGTTTTTTTTCACTTTTTCTTCATACCCTGTTTCACACTTTCATTGCCTCCGGTTGGTGGACCGTCAGCCCCTCTAGTTTTTTCTGGTAATT